ATCTACATCTATTTAGAGACTGCTTTGAGATCTAACTTGACCTGAACGAGCTAAGTATGGCAGATTACATTTTCCAAAATGGCTATGACAGTATCTCCCATCCTCCATGCTCTTTTTGCAATGTGACTTTGTTATGCCTCCCCATCATGAAATGAGTTCACGTTCCCTAGCCTTGAATCTAAGTGAAAATAATGTTACGCTGACTTCCAAACCTAGATCATAAATAATGGTACAACTTCTACCTGGTTCTCTCTGGGAAGGTTTGATCTTAGAAACCAGCTACCATACTGTGAGGAAGTCTAAGCAGCCCATGGACAGGCCCGGATGAAGAGCCTTCTGGTTCACAGACCTGGCTGAACTCCCTGCCACAGCCAGCACCAACTTGCTAGGCATGCAAAAAAAGATATCATCGTAAAAGTGGATCTTCCACCCCCTGCAAAACCTTGCCAGAATTTCCAATTTTTAAGCAAACTAAATTATTCCTGTTGCTGTAAGCCACTAAGTGCTTTAAGCCGCTGTATATCACGTGGCAATGAATAACTGATACACCAAACAAACAGAAAATGACTATACAGCCAAATAAAAGCTGCCATTCCATCTATCCCTTGCTACATACATTCTGAGAAAAAAATGACCAGCCATGACTATCTTTCATTTTAGATTTTTAAATTTCAAACATGTATAAACAATAGTATAGGGAACGCCTATGTATCTATCACCCAGTTTCAACAATTATTCTTCTGTGATTCCTATATCATCTACATATCCACCAATTTCCCCCACCTATTATCAATTATAATTTAAGGTAAAATTTATATGATTTCAAATGCATAAATCTTGGCGGTATAATTTTGATAATGGAAATACCCACACCCCGGGTGTGGTTTCTTTCCAACTCTCCAGAAAGTTCTCTTGTCCCTCTCCAGTTAATCCTCCTGTAATGAGTCCAGTCAAGAGACAGAAATCACACCAGTGGTTTTAATAAAGAACATTTATTCTATCTCATAAATACATTCTAATAAAGACTGCAATTCGAAGAATTACTAACTAGTAAAAGGAGAGTAACTACTAACAGGGGGCAAAAGAGAACACTAAAGGACACCCTGTGGCTCAGACAGAGTACTCAACGATTAAATAACCTTGGAAGGAGGGCAGCACCCCTCCCCAGAGCTGAGATTCAGAGAATGTGGAGTATGGCTGAGGCGTAGCAGTAAAGTCCATCAGGCTGCCCTCAGACAGAGATGGTTCTCAGCCATCATGGGCCAAAGTGTGGTGAACAGGAGTCCAACACCAGCTCACAGTAGTGAGCAGACGTCCCCTGCTGGGGTGCCAATAGGCTGAGGCTGGTGAGCAAAACTTGGTGAAGGGTGACTACCACTGGGTACACCACACACATGCTCCTGGCAGCTGTGTCATGTGAACAAGAAGTGAGGAAGCACACAGGAACCAGGAAGTAAAGTCCCATCTTCCTCCAGGATCTCTACAGCAGTGACAAGAATTAACACCATGCTAGCCCAAAGCAATGCCAAGGTCTAGCTCATGGCACCAGTCCAGCTTCTAGGTGTCAAGGACTACTTTTTTCCTTTTCAATATTTTTGCAGTATTATAATCAGCTGTCTAGTTTTATGGGGAAAAAATTTTAGACTTTAATTAGAATTTATGCATTTTCTGGGAAGATATCATATGCTGTTATTTTCCCATTCATAAACATGGCAGAGTACTTCCTTTCTTTAGGTCACCTTAAATGTCTTCTAATAAAATTTTACAAATTCCTCCAAAAAGGTCTTTCACATCTTGTCCTAAGAAACCTTACATTTTTTGTGGCTATTATGAATATAATTTTAAAAAGCTACTATTTAAAACTTTGGTTCTAGTGAATTGAAATGCAATTGATTTTTTAATATTCAGTGGAAGAATTCTGTGAGTTTTTTTTTTTTTTTTTGAGACAGTTTCATTCTTGTTGCCCAGGATGGAATACAATGGCACAATCTCAGCTTACCGCAACCTCCACCTCCCAGGTACAAGTGATTCCCCTGCCTCAGCCTCCCAAGTAGCTGGGATTACAGGCATGTGCCACTATGCCTGGGTAATTCTGTATTTTTAGTAGCAATGGGTTTTCTCTATGTTGGTCAGGCTGGTCTTGAACTGCCGACCTCAGGTGATCCACCTGCTTCAGCCTCCTACGGATTTTTTTTTTTTTTTTTTGTCTACTCTTTCACTGTGGGTGTAATGGAATAGTCAGAAACTGAAACTACTAGCAAATGTAGGATTATTGTTAGTGAGAGCCCATTTGACAACCGAGGATTGACATAGTGAGGGAGTCAGAGAGACAGCTGGAGGGAGGATCTTTTAAACAACCAGCTCTTGGGTGAACTAATAGAGCAAGAGCTCACTCATTATCACAGGGGAGGGCACAAAGCCATTCTGGAGGGATCTGCCCCAAAGACTTAAATACCTCCCTCTGTGCCCCACCTCCAACACTGGGGATCAAATTTCAACATATTTGGAGGAAACGAATAAAACAGAAAAAGGCAAAATGAATGAAAAGATGCATAATCCTAATAATCAGAATTTATTTAAAAAATCAAATGGTCATTCTAGAACTAAATGACATGTCTGAAATTAAGATTTCATTTGATGTATTTAAGAGTAGACTGGACACAACATAAAACAAAATTAGTAAACTTGAAGTACAACATGAAACTCACTGTAATAAATTAAAACAATACAGCTATGGATAGAGTAAAAACTTAGAATTCTCCATCTCCTCCCCTAAAACCATTCCACAAGACAAGGCAGGCATTGCCTTACATATATACACACATATATGTAAACATAAACACATATACAACTTATATGAAATAATCAGACAGTTAGAACAGAATGGATAGTTGCTAAGCAACTTGCACTTTTTCCTTTTTACTTAATAATAAGTGTTAGGAGTCAGGTATGCTGAGGTGGGAAGATCACTTGAGCCCAGGAGTTTGAGGCTGCAGTGTGCAAGGATGGAGCCACTACACTCTAGTCTGGGTGACAGACGAACACCCTGTGTCTCAATAATGATGATGATGATAATAATGTATCTTGGAGGGCATTTCTTCTTAGTATGTACAGATATACTTTATTGTACATAATATCTCATTCCCTTAGTCACTGTTAGGTCATTTACTATTTTTACTATGAAACAAAGTTATGATGAATATCCTTGTACATCCTTCTGAACACATGTGCAAGTATTTCTCTAAAGTAGATCCCTAGAAGTGGAAATGCTTGGTTAAAGGGTACATGTGTTTAACTTTTTTTTTTTTTTGAGATGCAGTTTCGCTCTTGTTACCCAGGCTGGAGTGCAATGGCGCGATCTCGGTTCACCGCATCCTCCGCCTCCTGGGTTCAAGCAATATCTCCTGCCTCAGCCTCCTGAGTAGCTGGGACTACAGACAGGCACGCGCCACCATGCCCAGCTAATGTTTGTATTTTTAGTAGAGACAGGGTTTCACCTTGTTGACCAGGATGGTCTCGATCTCTTGACCTCGTGATCCACCTGCCTCGGCCTCCCAAAGTGCTGGGATTATAGGCATGAGCCACTGCGTCCGGCCTAACATTTTAATATATATTTCTCAGTTACCATCCAAAAGGGGAAAGGAGAGTGGAGAGGGGGAAGGGAGGAAGTTTACAAAATTGCCCCTCCAAAACCGCCAAGGAGATTAGTTACTAACCTCAGCTGGGCTCTCCTCTTTCCTGCCCTAAACATCTCTCTCCCTCATTCTCCTCATAATGTATCTTTGCTCAAACCTCCTACTGCACCAACAGCCCTATCCCCACTCAAACACACACACACATTCTTGGCCAATATCTCACCAACTATTTGTAGGGGGAAAAAAAAGTCAGCAAAGGCAAACTTTCTCAGCCTCCTACCCCCAAAACCTACAACACCTAGTAAATATCCCCTTCCTGTCTTCCTTCCCTTCTAATATAATGGGAGTGGGGAGCAGTCCTTCCTCCTGTCTAAAGGCAATTCTGGTTGAGAGGGTCTTTACTTCACAAAGGGCTGGCTCCACTGACCAAAGGTCTCAGCTACCGCTCTCTCCTCAGCTAACCTCCAACTGTTTTCTGTCCTCACAGCTCCCCAAGGCTCACGTTGGGCAGAATTCGGGTCCTTATCTTAGGTGACTAGTGTGGACCCCCTACTTCTGACAACTCTCTTCATAATGCCACTCTGCTGATTTTCCTCCCCAGACTCTCTGGCATTTCTTTCTCACTCCTCCTCCAGTCCTCAGGCACTTCTTGTCCAAACCTTAAAAACTGAGTTTGGGTTTTCCGTCCTGGGCCTTGTGTTCATTCCCCCTGGGAGATGTCAGCCACTTCCCACGTGCAGCTACCACCACCCTCTGTCTTCTGTCTCTTCTGCATCTTCAGCCAGGTCGCCCACAAACCCCAATTTGACTTCACTTCCTGGCATTCGGCTCCGCCTTCCCTCCACTCCTCCCCTAACCCGCCAACCTAGTCCCTCCTCCGGGAAGTCTTCCCTGACTCCTCCCCCTTCTAACACCCCTGTCGGTCCGAGTCTGCGCCATGCGTGTCCAATACCTCGCAGACCTGAGGAATGTAGTTCTCCTTGAAGTACTTCTTCAGCCTCGGGTTGGCATTGCGTAGCGAGGCCATGGTCCGAGGCCTGACGGAAAAGCTGCGCTCATCCCCTCGCGGCGCAGGAACTAGGAGGCCCGGCGCGAGGGGCGTTGTCCGGACAACCAGGGGGCGGGGCAGGCTCGCCCAGCGCTCCACAGCTCTGGGCGGGAGGGAGGGAGGCTTGCCTTACGCCCCGGGAGAAGCGACGCGACAGCCGGCTTAGGGTTGCCAGCGCCGACGTCTCCGCGTGGGGTGCATGGTCCGAGCCGTCCCTCCCGGCGTCCAGCGTCCTACCCCGCGTCACCTGGTGAAAGCCTCCGGGACGCACCGGGCCCGAGTGGGCGGTAATAGGTGTTGAGCTGGACGGTTTCCGGGAGGCGGAGCTCAGACCCCCATTTCCTTTCTCCACAACCCGCTAGCTTTCCGGTTGCTGTGGCTGCGAGGCCCTCCCGTTCTGAAGATACTTGCGCTGGCCCTTACGAGCCTCCTGTCCGGGCCCGGCCCTGCGGCTCTGCCGCGGCGGCAGCATGGGTGGCGCCCGGGGCGCGGGCTGGGTGGCGGCGGGCCTGCTCCTCGGCGCGGGCGCATGCTACTGCATTTACAGGCTGACGCGCGGTCGGCGGCGTGGCGGCCGCGGGCTCGGCCTGCGCCCCTCGCAGTCCGCAGGTGAGACCGCCGGGTGCCCGACAGTTGGGCTCGAACTGGGCTGAAGGGCTCCCCAGGCCCGGGTGGTGGCTTGTCCTCGAGGTAAAATGAGGAGCCGAGCTAGAGGGAGAGGCGATACTTGCGTGGGTGCAGGGTGCTGCGTGGGCCTGCTGCCCCTTTGTTCGCTATACTGGCATGAAAACTTGTCCGAGTTTTCCGGCCCGAGCCCCGCGTCACAGTGGAGGATTAGGTTTCTTAAAAGACTATTGATGACCTCTCTCTTCAAAGCGTGCTCCGGGCCTTTGTGTAACTAAAGGGATTCTCCAGATTGTGGAAGGGCTGTTGAGGGGCCCGGAGCCGTAAGTGAAGCTCCGCTTGGAGGTTCCCTGGAAGAAGGGACGCCAGAGGGACAGTTGTGTGGGCGCTCGGCCCGGCCTTAGATGGGAGGTCCTTGGGAGTCACAGTGGTCCAAAACTCGCAGCCAGGTGTGTGTTTTGGGAATAGGAACAGTTGTCTGCGTGAGACACACCCTCCTAGGGGACAAATGTGTGGTTCGGTTTCTGTCCAGAAGTTGAACGATACGTTAAAACTCTCAAAAAGGATATTTCACATCATGGAAGCTGTTAGGCAAATAATTTAAAGTATCACATCTGCCATCCAAGAAACTTCTGTCCACGACTGCAGAAGAAAACTAAACAGCTTCATTGTTGAATAAGCACAAACTAGATTGCCTCACCATCTCGGGCAGCTTGCTAATGGGCACCTGGTTCCACATCATAAAGATATTTTTACTTTTCCCCTGGATGAATGCAATGAGCTAACACAACTACAGAGAGAGCCTGTGTCAAAAATAATTTCATACTGATTTTAGATAACTTAAAATAACTTTCTTCTTATGCAGAAGACTTAACTGATGGTTCATATGACGATGTTCTGAATGCTGAACAACTTCAGAAACTCCTTTACCTGCTTGAGTCAACTGAGGATCCTATAATTATGGAAAAAGCTTTGATTACTTTGGGTAACAATGCAGCCTTTTCAGTTAACCAAGTAAGTACCTCGACTCAGTAAGCAGACTCCTTCCATTCTTGCACACTGGCAGTAATTTTGACCCTGAATAAATTACTTAACCTCTCAGAGCTTCAATTTCCTCATCTGTGCAATGTGGCTACTTAAACTGATAACATAATGTTTGTTTACTTCTGAAAAACACAGCCTAATAGTAATATGATTAACAATGTGATTGTAGATCCCTATGAAGTTTGTCACCGGCATCACATTCATATTAAGTATGTCTAATCAACATTTAGCATTTCATGGCCTTTTAAATTATTTGAAATTCAGCAGTGCTTCAGTAAAACAATGAACACATCTAACATGTAAGTACATACTTTAAATTGTATATAGGTCTTATGAGGGTGGTTCTGATGCAGGTGGTCCCTGGACCACACTCTGATAACCACTAATCAATGTAAATGGCTTCAGCAAATGGAGACTTTAAGACTAAAAGAGCTTAACTTGAGCACTTCCTTCTTCCTGCCCTAATTCACAAGCCGCCAGCATGAAAAAATAGTTTAAAAATTTTTTGTAATTGTTTTCATCTAATCCCCTTTGTTAACATTATAAGTACAAAATTATTTTGAATTTATAGGTCTTTTTAGCCCAGTTTTCTCCAGGATGGGAAGGTTTACCGTAAAGCTCTATAGATGTATAGGGAGGTAGAGAGTCTTTGTGCATTATCTACTCTTTCAGTTATAAATGACAGAATTCAACTTAAATTGTTTTTAAGTCAAAGAGAGAAAATACTGAGCTCAGCTGACGTAAACAGCAAAGAATAGTATTGGTTACAGGCACAACTGAGTCGATTTCAAGATTGCAGGAAGAATAACCAGAGTTCTCTCTTTCTCTACCTTTTGCATGTTATTTACTGGCCTTTATCTTTCTGGGCACAAAGTGATTTTCTTCACACGGGTTGAAAGAAAGCCACTAGCCTCTCTAAGCATTCATCTCTGTAGCTTATGATCCAAAAGGTACAGTTGTTCTTCTAGGATCCAGTGCTAACCCTTTGGGTCAATCTCTGGGGCAATCTCTGGATCAGTCAAGGTACCATGACCTATGTTTAGTGAGGCCTGGCTCACCTCAGCAGCCTACAGCTAAGTAGCAGGGATAGCTGTGAATACAAGTGACCAACAATCCCAGCAGGGACTGTGTGGGACAGGGGAGATGCCACATCTGCCTCTGTAGAAAGAGGGCCAGTAGACAAGCAAAAACAATAGATACTGATTAATGTGTTAGCCTGCCTTTAAAGAAGCATTTCTGATGGCATAATTTTGTATTCCTCTAAAATAAGAGGTAGTCGGAGTAGGCCAATACCCACTGGAGAAGAAGTACCTTCTTGAGCAGCAGGGGTTGGTGCTTTCACCATCAATTATAGTGCCTTAGTCTGCTTTAACAGTACAGTTGAAAAAAAAAAACAACCCCAGTTTCTAGAAACTGCAAGTCCTTCGAAAGAACTTCAAATTGTAGAGGGAACATTTATTACTCTTTTGATGCTAAGGTTACCCTTAATAGTAAAATGGAGTATAAAAGTTAAAGCAATTTAATTCTTTCAATGTTTGCGCCAAAGACACATAATAACATAGTATTGCAACTAAGTGTAAAAAAATCCCATATAATTTTTTCTCGGAATATTCAGGCACCATTTTTCTTCTTCTTCTTTCTCCTCCTCTTCCTCCTCTTCTCTTTTTTTTTTTATTTTGAGGCACAGTCTCACTCTGTTACCCAGGCTGCATTGCAGTGGCACAATCTTGTCTCACTGTAACCTCGTCCCAGGTTGAAGTGATTCTCCTGCCTCAGCCTCCCAAGTAGCTGAGATTACAGGCACCCACCACTGTTACTGGCTAATTTTTGTATTTTTAGTAGAGACAGCGTTTCACCACGTTGGCCAGGCTGGTCTCGAACTCCTGACCTCAAGTGATCCACCTGCCTCGGCCTCCCAAAGTGCTGGGATTACAGGCGTGAGCCACCACACCTGGCCCGGGGTACCATTTTTCAAGCTGCATGGAACCTGATTCTGGAAGATGTCAGTGTGTTCCCACCACTTCCACTGCTGAAAAATGACCCTCTTTTTGTGTATAGTTCATAGACAGACTATCAACAACATATGCCTCTTGAAGATTCCCAATGCACATGAACATATTAAAGAAACATGCTTAGCCTTGTTTTACTCAGATTTTGCTAAACTTACATAACCATGGGAAACCACCCTCCCCCTTATTTTTATGGAACATCTATTAACATTTTGAGGGATTGGTGTTTAAAATAACACAGGTCAGCAAAACATAAATTGTAACACTTTTCCAGTTTTGCGTATAATGGAGAAGTTACTTATCTCAAAGAAAAATAATTTTGTTTGTAAGTTGCTTCAAGATCATTATAGTACCTCTGAATTTTGATTGTATTTCTCAACACTGTAGTTTAAATAATTATATATCTTAATAATTTTATTTTCAGTGGATTTTCTTTACCTATAAAAGTATGGGTAGTGAGATTTTTTAAAAATAGGAATTAGGATCGGGTGCAGTGGCTCACGCCTTTAATCCCAGCACTTTAGGAGGCCAAGGTGGGCAGATCACCTGAGGTTAGGAATTTGAGACCGGTCTCCACTTAAAAAAATACAGAATTAGCTGGGCCTAGTGGAACATGCGTGTAATCCCAGCTACTCGGGAGGCTGAGGCAGGAGAATTGCTTGCACCCAGGAGGCAGAGGTTGTGGTGAGCTGAGAACGTGCCATTGCACTCCAGCTGGGTGACAAGTAGGAAACTGCATCTCAAAAAAAAAAAAAAAAGGAATTAAATATTTTTATATGGGAAAGGCATTTCCAAAAAGCCATTAATTTTTAATTGTATTTGTGGATGCAAACAATTCAGTGAACTAAAGTCCCTTTAGTGTACTAAAGTCCCAGTCCTGGTTGTTTTTTTTTTCCCCCTCCTAGGCTATTATTCGTGAATTGGGTGGTATTCCAATTGTTGGAAACAAAATCAACCATTCCAACCAGAGTATTAAAGAGAAAGCTTTAAATGCACTTAACAACCTGAGTGTGAATGTTGAAAATCAAATCAAGATAAAGGTAAGTTGATTGAAAATCCCAAATGTATAATGTTTTCCATAAATGAAAGAGAAAATAACAAAGAGATGAGTAATGAAACTTTAGTAGATGATCCTTTGTAACTTTGCAGCCAAGGATTACCTTTAAAAGAATGGAGAATAAGACAGAGGAGGGAGGGACCTGAAGTAGCCAATAAGAGGTACAATAAGACTTTTCTTTTTTTTTTTTTTTTTTTTTCGGTAAAATAATGCTTGTTTATTCTATAGGTTATCCTCTACTTTATACCAGGGACAGGCACTGGTGACAGTAGTGGCCTTAAGGCTATAGGCACAAACCAAATAATGGATGTAGTTGGCTGAAAGTTAGGACAAGACTGTATCAACTAGAACTAGAACTAGAATTACAAGAGATTCATTCAAAGAGCATATCCAATGCTGCATATTCATAAATATGGTCATTAATGCATACAGTTTGGCTTGTTTTGCCTTTGAAATTAAGTGAATTATATCAGTGTATTATGGAATGTTAAGTCACTGTATGCTTTAGCTCTTTCAATGGATGAGGCAAATATGCAAGTAGACTCAACTGACTTTACAGAATAACTGTTCCTTGATCTAGTTTTATGGGGAGAAATCCTGCACTTTAGGATGCATATAAAATGCTAATCAACATTACTGACATTGCTTTAATGCTTTTTTCAAAAATGTTATTTATAAGATAGTTAACCCGTGAAAAAATAGCCTGGAAAATGCTAACAGTAAAAACTCTCCAGCCTTGGCATATATAGTCAGAACCCAGTGATACCCCTCAGTTATAGAAAAAAGCACTGTTTTCTGTTTACTAATGAAACAGGACTCCCATGTTCAAACCAGAAATTGTCATTCAACAGAAAAAATCAGGTCAAGAGAATCACGAAAGAAGAAACAGGAGGATGTGCTCATTTGAAGAAAAAAAAACAACAAATAACCGAACTTTACTTCCTTGAACATAAGATTGATAGCAAGATTTCTAAGAGGTCATCTCTGTATTTAGTTTAAATAAAGACTTCCAGCCCAGAACACTGTTAAGAAGTAACTATGAGGAGCTTTGCAGAAGTGATGAGAGGCAAGTACTATATAGACTAGAAAATTTAATTTTTTACAGAATTTATAACAGATTACTATGCTATGAAGCAAAAGCAGACTTAAAATCAATGAAAATGTATGACCCCCATCACACAAACAGCTAACTCTAAATCTACTTTGAAAATCTAATCAGTCAAGAAGTATTATCTGTTTGGAGGCTGTGTACCAAGTGTCAAAGATAAGGCTGCTGTCCTCACAGGAATATATGGGGTCTTTGACAATCAGTTAGAATATCTAGTGAAGCAGGTATTCTAATATTTGGGGAAATCTTGGAAAACTATTAAAGTATTCTGGAAATTATATATTTTTGCCCTTCCACAAGTCTTACAGATCCAGATGCGATTAGTTTAGAATAGGGGTATGTTTTCTTTTTTTAGACAGAGTCTTGCTCTGTCACCCAGACTAGAGTGCAGTGGTGCAATCTTGGCTTGAACTGCCTCCCAGGTTCAAGCGATTCTCCTGCCTCAGCCTCCCAAGTAGCTGGGACTACAGGTGCACGCCATCAGGCCTGGCTAATTTTTGTATTTTTAGTAGAGGCAGGGTTTCACCATATTGGTCAAGCTGGTCTTGAATTCCTGACCTCGTGATTCGCCCACCTCAGCCTCCCAAAGTGCTGGGATTATAGGCATGAGCCACTGAACCCAGCCTGAATAGGGGTCTTTATTAGTCCAGAAAATCTTTAGAGTTCAATATAGTTATGGTTAATCAGAGACTAAAAAACCTTTATAAAGGTAAGTAGGATTGGAAATCCTTGGAAATTGAGCACTCTCATTTTGAATTAGCATGTTTTAATCAAAGGTATAGAATTAATCAAGTATCAGTTACAATTTCTGGAATGCACCCCAATGCCAAAAGACCACTAACATGCTATTTTGTACTATGAAGACTTCTTGATTTGAAATAGAAGGTAAAAGAAATATTGCCAGCCATAAAATGAATTTTACTCTACTTCCTCGGCTCTCCAAAGAAAAATCTTACTTTTTTCACATTAGAAACTCAATGGATCAAATGAATGTTAATTAAATAAAAGATTGTGTAAGTAAAACTGGACAAAAGACAACCGCTGAAATCCATGAAAGAATTAATCATCAAAAGAATCCTTTTTACAGTAGCCCCTTTGCTGTGAGAGATACTTTTATGAGCCTTGGCCACGTCTCCAACATATAATGAGAACCTATTACAGATTTCAAGTGACCAATTTCCATTCCAGCTTGACAGGGTGCCACAAATTGTCGAGATTCCTCCTTGGTTGAGGAAAATAGAGTAACTCCAATTTTACTAGACTCTTTTGCCATGGTGTTCCATGGGTTTATTTCAGTAGTACCACTGTTGCCAACACGTATCACTCATCTTCCATATTACAAACAATTCACATCTTTACTAAGATTTGTATTAGCTAATATTTCAATAAGATCAATTTCTAACCAATACATTTCTTAATTTCATCAACATAATTCTTTGTAATTAAACATTTTGTGGGCTCCATTTTGCGAAAGTCTTTTGTCTCTCTCAGTATCAACTGTGCCCAAAACATTTAAGCCAGAAACTCTAGCAATTTGGCATGTTGCTAACCCAGCTCCTTCACTAGCCCCATGAACCAAAACACTCCAGCATTCATACAAACACTGTGAATCAGAGCTCCATATGCAGTAAGCTGTGAGATACCAATGGCAGCATTTTGTTTAAAGTCCAGTTTTTCAGGCACTTTGTAAACAGTGTGATCTGCTACAGGAGCATACTCCTCATGGCTTCCAGAGATTGTGCTTGTAGTGAAAACTCTTTTTTTTTTTAAAGTAAGTCCATTACCTCCAACAGCTTTCATTACCCCAGTTACGTCTGAGCCAGCAGTATAGAATAAGGTGGTTTTCTATTGTAAGTACCAGAGTAAATGTATATATGTATGCATGTGGTTGACACACACGCATGAACCTTGATTACACTTGATGGTGTTTTGGAATTGGTACTGCAACATCTGACTGAGTTTCAGGACTTCTGGTCTACCAAATTCAAACACTCTTAACAGGTCTTACCAGCTTCTGTTCAGTTTCCATGGTCATCTAGATAAAAGCTCTAGAGTGGGAATCAAAATCTGTAAGGGCTCCTTCATGCTCCACTGAAGGAGGCTGGCCAGGCTGCTTCTATCTTTTGTAGCCAATAAGACTTCTGGAGTAGGGGTTCAGTTTAAGGGTGCTAAAGGAACAAAGCCAGGGTCAGATAACGTCAGCAGAAAAATGCAATATTAGGAAATTATGTTATTTCAATTCAGTATTTAACTCCTGCTTTATGATACAGAGTATATAAATGAACATGATGCAACTCTTTTTAAGAAAGGCGGAAGGAAGGATAAAACAAGTCCTTAAATAGTTGTAAGTTAAGGCAGAACATAATGAAGTGCTTTAAGGAAAAAATGTAAGTAAAACATTACTGAGTACATAGATTTGATCTAAAAGTTTCTGTAAGAGGTGGAGTCTGACCTGACTCTTGAGAGTGTCTAAGGTCACTGTACAGGTAGAGTTGGGGAAGGAGAGAATTCCAAGAGAATGGAACAAGATGAGGTGGACACAGCTGCAGGAATAACTAAGCTGGTCCATTTGGTAATCTTGTTATTAGAATTGAAATGGTAAAAAGATTCAGATATAATAAGGATGTAAACGGTCCACACATTTTAGGAAATACTTTGAAAGACATCAGCATCTTACAGAAATCTATGATTTATAAAGAACTAAATAAATGCCATGTTTTTAAAGGATGGACATGTAATTAAATTGTAATCAAGGAGAATCAGTTGACTTTCAAATGTAAATTAGGGCCAGGTACGGTGGCTCACACTTGTAATCCCAACACCTTGGGAGCCAAGACAGGAGATTGCTGAAGGCCAGGAGTTCAAGACCAGTCTGGGCAACATAGTGAGACTCATTATTTTTTTAAGTATATAGTTTTATAAACATCTCACACATAAATATACAGTGTTTCTCCATCTAGATTAAGATATGATAGAACATTGTTAGCATCTTCAATAGCATTCCTCATACCCATTCCCAAACAGCAGCCACCTCTACGAAGGAAACCATCCTTTAACTTCTATCACTGCACATTAGTTTTGCATTTTAAAACTTTATATGAATGAAATTGTAGAGTATGTACACTTTTATGTCTGGCTTCTTTCATTCCACATTATGTTTATGGGGCTCATTTATGTTGTTATATGTAATTGTAATTTGTTCTTTTTCATTGCTGAATAGTATTTCACATATATATGGTCACATATATGAATATGTTGAGAGAAAGATTGTGTCAAGATGGAGGTGGTTATGGGACATGTTCCTGTGACGATTATAGCAAATGTATGTTTAGAAAACATTCGTATATATTTCTTTCAGGCAAGAGAGAATTGCCCTTCTTCTTTAGAAGTAATTATTGATGGATCATAGAGCTTGTGAATGTGAATTTCTAGCAAATAAGTCAAACAGTTTTCCCATGTGATTGTAGCAATTTATACTCCTTCCAACTGTGAATGAAAGTTCTAGTTGATCCAGGTGTTTGCCAATACTTGATTTTTTTTTTTTTTTTTTTTTTTTTTTTTTGAGATGGAGTCTCACTCTCATTGCCCAGGCTGGAATGCAGTGGTGCAACCTTGACTCACTGCAACCCCTGTCTCCCAGGTTCAAGCAATTCTCCTGCCTCAGCCTCCCAAGTATCCGGGATTATAGGTGCCTGCCACCATGCCCGGCTAATAAAGACAGGCTTTCACTATGTTGGCCAGGCTGGCTAAGACCCTATTTCTTCTTAAAAAAAAAAAAAATGTATTAGCTGGGTATAGTGGCATGCACCCAGAGGGAATTTGAGGCTGCAGTGAGCTGTTATGCCACTGCACTCCAGCCTGGGTGACAGAGTGAGACCCTGTCTCTAAAAAGAAATAAATGTCATTTAGATGTAGAAACTAGATTTAAAGTGTAATCTCTCTTTGCTTTACTGCCATTTAGTTTCTGTGGTAACATGAATACATTTGGGAATTTTTTTTAAATAATTGTTTGTGCAACAATTGGTAACTTCTTGCCACTTCAAATTAGGAAAATTTTCTCACCAGTTAGAACTTTTGGTAGAGTTCAGATTTGCTTAGGTGAATATCAGTAATCTGTAAAACGTCATTTTTTCTAAACTAGAAATCTCATGGCCAGGCTGGGCATGGTGATGCACACTTATAATCCCAGCACTGTGGGAAGCTGAGGTGGATAGATCACTTGAGCTCAAGAATTTGAGACCAGCCTGGGCAACGTGGTGAAACCCTGTCTGGTGGCTCACGCCTGTAGCCCCAGCTACTTTGGAGGCTGAGGAAGGAGGATCACTTGGGCCTGGGAGGTCAAGGCTACAGTGACCCCGAGGTTGTACCACCACAGCCTATGCAGCAGAGTGAGACGCTGTCCTCCCCAAAAAAAGAAAGCTCATGGCCAGACACAGAAAATCGTGTTTCAGAAAAGTTTCCATCACATTGTGTTTAGTTCTGTTATGTATGATACAAGAGTACTACAGTATTGCGTTACTTTTTACCAGTGATAGTTAAGAGTATTATGAAGGGATAAATTATATACATACACCTAGGTAAATAAGAAACTTGGGCCAGGGATAATTTTGCTCTGCTTACTTTTGACAGGATTAACTCTAGGGAAAGATTCTGTTTCACATTTTCCTCCCACTCTTTTACTTCTGAAATGATAGAGCTTTCTAGACACTACTGCTAAGGTACTTACCATGATACAAAATGACCTCACATCTTCCCTGATCCTAGCGTGCTGAGGCCAGTTGAAACAGAAAGGTGGACTAAGTTGGGAGGCCTCCAACCAGGAAGAGTCCACCGATGTTAAGAGCATGATCTCTGGGCTTGCATATTGCTTCCCCACCTGCTATCTGACATTGGGCAGGGGACCCAAGCTCCTTGAAGACTTAAAAGTCCTTGTCTGCAAGATAGCCATAATATTACAACACTCACCTCATGAGAGCTGTCTTCAGGATTAAGTGAGGTATATTTGTAAAATGCTAAGCACAGTACCTGGAATTACCAAAGGACGCTTTTAAAAGGTCACCAACATTTGAGTTCCATCCTGAGCAGTAGCCCTACTCCATTGGGCAAAAACATGGCTGCTTAGTAGAAAATTTTTGGAGATACTAAGATACTCATTTTCCTCCCCTGCCTTCAGATATACATCAACCAAGTCTGTGATGATGTCCTCTCTGGTCCTCTGAACTCTGCTGTGCAGCTGGCCGGACTGAGATTGTTGACAAACATGACTGTTACCAATGACCACCAGCACACGCTTCACAGTTATATTACAGACCTGTTCCAGGTGTTACTTACTGGAAATGGAAACACGAAGGTATGAAGAGCTATTGTGTCAAGCTTATTAAGATTGAAATAGAATTTGCAGGCCACCTTATCTTAAGTTGATGTGCCTCAAAGAAGAGGAAGATTTATTAAAAACTCACATGGGCCCAAGAAAGTATATTATTTGTAGTCCCAAATATTCCGTTGCAAAATTAACTTGTGAAAATCATCTGCTTTTTCACGTATCATTTGGTTTTCTGAGAAGCTAGCTTCCCCCCAACAAATATAGGAACATTGTGATTAAAAGGAATCTTTGAGTAATAGTAGTGGTTAGTTGAATATTTTGCTTACCTCAGGGTTCACAAATCATTTTTTATTTAGTTATTATTTGTTGAAAAATCTTTCTAAAACAACTTTTAAGGTGTAGTAAAGGAAGTGAATTAAATACTGTATATGAAAGATGTCTCAGTGCTTCACTCTGTCCATTTAGGTTGATTTAAGAGGCAACAGATACTGAGCCGAATTAAATAGGACCTTAGGAGATGCCCTATGAAAAGTTTCTTGAGTAAATCTCTCATATTAATGTGCATCCTTATCAATTGCCATTTTTCAAGAAAAAGTAGCGTAAAATGGATTGTAGGCTAATTAAAAGTTTTGGTAAGTTGGGTTGATTGCTCATCAAGGCTTTTTGCCATGTTGGTCTGTGTTCTCTGGAACAGTTGAGAGAAAAATGCATAAGCATTTTAAAAAGACCAAATGTGAGGCCATACTCCAAATATTCAACATCACTGCAGTTATTTTTGAGGTTATCAAGATATGATTACAGGAGAGCCTCACTGTAGTCCTGCTTTTATGTTTCCAAGGTGTTTCTACATGGACTTTCCTCTTTTCCAGTAGCCAAATTTGTTTGGATCTGGTCCAAGATCAATACCTTTTCGTATTTAAAATTAAGCGTAAGAATCGTCTTCTAGCAAAACTGCACCATTCCTGGACAGTTTCCAACATGCATCAACATCTCTGACTCCAGTGGAGCAAGATAATTTCCAGGCCTTGAACCCCTGTGGAAACTGCTTCCCTCTTTACTCATTGTTGTTGCCACTGTAGGAGAAATCTCTCCTCTGCCTGAATCTGCAGCTGCTTTACCCAGAATCTCAGGAGGAACTGTTCAGAACCAGGCTGAGTTCCGCCAGCCGAGTCTGGCCTTGGGGCTGTATATGTCTGTCTGAGACATCATCTGTGTTTTCATACATTTTTTTGACTTTTTAAAAAATGACCCACACCACAATAGTATGTTCTATTTTTGTTTTGTTGTGTTGTGCTTTTCCGTTACATTGCTTAGTACAGTATTTCTAGGGTAAAAAATATGCTTTCTTGGTCTGCCTTGGAACATAGCCACCAATTATAACATTAATTTTCCATAAAAATTGAGTTTAAAGTTCCAACTTGCAAATTAACTTTTGGATAGTCATCTATTTGTTAGTGGGAAAGTGTATCTGATTTAGGTATTTTCTTAGTAAATAACCACTAAAATGACTTTTAAAATACCTTAATTTGCTTAAGTCAGGGATCTCACTGTACCGTAATAACCTTTTGGGTACACCACTGATTGATAACTAAATACAGATAGTGGAGGATTAATATAAATAAACTGTGTGCTTGTTACATCTGCAATGAAAACAAAAACTAATGGTTTAAAATGTCCTAGGGTCACCACAAGATGGTGCATATGACAAGAGGGAAAAAAATGTCTTTTATGTATTTATTTATTTATTTTTTGAGACAGAGTCTCGCTCTGTCACCCAGGCTGGAGTGCAGTGGCATGATCTCAGCTCACTGCAACCTCTACCTCCCAGGTTCAAGTGATTCTCCTGCCTCAGCTTCCTGTGACACATGCCACCACGCCCCACTAATTTTTTGTATTTTTTAGCAGAGACGGTTTCACCATGTTAGTCAGGCTGGTCACAAACTCCTGACCTCGTGATCTGCCGCCTCGGCCTCCCAAAGTGCTGGGATTATAGGCTTGAGCCACCGAGCCCAGACAAAAGACATGTCTTAATATGGTTTCAAACCAAAATCTATGTATTTGTTTAATCTGTAGTTGTATTCTAACTGTATGTATTTTTTCCTCATGTTTAACTCCCTTTTACAAAGAGTAGCAACATCAGACTTTAATACAGGATACCAAATAGCTATTGCTGTTGCTATTCCCTGGTTGTATACCTGCCCTCATTGACTAGTAGTGGGTCTTAGATTTGGACTTCATCCAGGCTTATTTCATAAGTTCAGGTCCATCCTATTTCATACCTCTTGTTCCTGTTTTTCTGATTGAAACGTCATTGACATTGGAGCCAGGTGTTTTTTCCTAACAGTTATTCTTAGTGTTGCTGATGGCCAGTCAGGCCAGATGAGATCTGATAGTAACCTCCACAGAGTGCACTAAAGGGTGGTCAGAAGTCTCCTTTACTCTTTCATCTCCAGACACCATAATTTATTAAGAGCCTCTGTTTGAAAAAGACAGTCTCTGCATATTCAAGAAGTGTTACCAGTGGTCACCGCTGAGGATGGGAAGGGGTCAATAGCATGATGGCTTTTGTTTTTACCTTGTTCTCTTTTGTACTACCTAAATTTTTATCATGACCAAGTAGTAACTTTGTAAAAATAAAAATAAATAAGTTCATAAAAACAGTAAAATTAAGCAAAGCATTATGTCATCCTCAAATAAATTAGTATCTACAACACGGTCAAAGGAATTGTGAATACACAAGATATATGCAGAAAGAGCAGAAAGAAAATTTCTTTTTTTTTTTTTTTTTTTTTTTTCTTTTTAATTGAGACAGAGTTTTGCTCTTGTTGCCCAGGTTGGAGTATAGTGGCATGATCTCAGCTCACCACAACCTCTGCCTCCCGGGTTCAAGCGATTCTCCTCCCTCAGCCTCCCAAGTAGCTGGAATTACAGGCATGCGCCACCACGCATGGCTAATTTTGTATTATTAGGAGAGATGGGGCTTCTCCATGTTGGTCAGGCTGGTCTCGAACTCCCAACCTCAGGTGATCTGCCCACCTCGGCGTCCCAAAGTGCTGAGATTACAGGCGTGAGCCACCGCACCCAGACTTCCCTTTTTTTTGACACAGAATCTCACTCTGTTGCCCAGACTGGATTGCAGTGGTATGATCTCAGCTGACTGCAGCCTTGAGCTCCCAGGCCTAAGCAATCCTTCTGCCTCAGTCTCCCGAGTAGCTAGGACTTCACGCACATGCCACCACTCCTGGCTAATTTTTATATTTTTTGTAAAGGTGGGGTTTTGCCATGTTGCCTACGTTGCTCTTGAACTCCTGAGCTCAAGTGATCTGCCCACCTTGGCCTCCAGAAATGCTGGAAATCCAAGGCATGCGCCACTGTGCCTGGCCAAATTACCAAAACTTAATCATAATTTCTGGTTATGGAAATATGGGTGAATTTCCTTTTTCTTTCTGCTTTTCTATTTTTTTGAAAGTGCTATGGTAAAATCTGTTGTCTTTGTAATAAAAAAATTTTCTAAAATAATATCCAGGTTTCTTCCCAGCTCTAGTGAAGAGCACATTTGTCACATATCGCTGAATTAGTTCCCCCCTCCACGATCCTCCTTACTTTAGTTCTGGGTATCTTATGGAAAGCACAGTTTCATATGGCCTTTGTTTTTAAAAGAGCCATTCTATTTGAGTCTTTTTATTACTGACTTTTTGTTATAAGTCATAAGAATGCTGATTATTTTAGCTACTCAGCTATTAAATAACATTTACTTGCTTATTATTTATATCATTGCTGGGCATAGTAGCTCATGCCTGTAATCCTAGTTACTTTGGGAGGCCAAGGTGAGGGGATTGCTTGAGGCCAGGAGTTAAAGACCAGCCTCGGCAATTTAGTGAGAGCCCCCCCTCCCCACTGCCGTCTCAATCATTCAATCAATCAGTTTTTATCACTGTGCTTTTTTATACAGTTGTAAAACATTTTCACATTAAAAGATAACCTCAAAGATTCATACTAGCTTATGAAAAGGGGTCATATTGTTACTTATTTAGTCTTGGTAACCAAACAGTTGCAGAATTTTTACACTTTAAGTAGAAATGAGCTGAGCTTTGAGAGATATTTTTGTTTGTTTTAAAGACTGTGTTTCTTTTTTATTTTTTGGAAAGATGGGGTCTCGGGTCTCACTGCATTGCCCAGACTGGAGTACAGTGGCTATTCACAGGTACAATCATAGCTCACTACATCCTTAAACTTATAGGCTCAAGCGATCCTCCCTCCTCAGCTTCCTAGGTACCTAAGACTACAGGCCCACACCACCATGCCTGGCCATATTTCACTTACCAGCAATCATAATGAAGATCGTGTATTTAACATTTGTTAAGCTTACCATCTGTTTGGGCGTGCATGTGAGTTGGGGGTAGATTGTGAAGACATTTGCAAAATTCTATCTCCTTAACAGTATAATTGGGAAAAATGATGTTTAAATAACAGTGTTATAGAAGACCTCCATCTCTGTGATAGGTTCTCTAAGTGGTGCAAAACATTTGCAATATTCTGTCTCTCTAACAGTGTAATTGGAAACATGAGGTTTAAATAACACTGCTCTGTGATAGGTTCTGTCCTATCATAGAGTGGTGCCAAGTGTTACAAAAGTTCAGAGTGAACCTAAAATGCAATTAAATAAATAAATACTCACAATAAAAAAGAGTTCAGAGTGAGACCCTTAAAGTAGAATGAATCGAGAAAGTTTCCTAGAGTAGAGAGACTAGGAGCCAGGCCTGGAAGCTAGACAGTACTTTTATAGGAAGACCTGGTGAGAGAACAGCATGCCTGAGAGAGGAAATTCATGCTTACCAGTCTGAGATAAGCATAATTTTGTTATTTCAGGTGCAAGTTTTGAAACTGCTTTTGAATTTGTCTGAAAATCCAGCCATGACAGAAGGACTTCTTCGTGCCCAAGTAAATAGCTTAAATATTTATTTTGCAAACATATACACATATATATTTGAGCAGACAGATCTGGAAAGAGAAAGATTTAGCCTAAAACGTTAACAGGGATTCTCTCTGAGAAGCAATATTAAAGGTGGTGTTTTTTTTTTCATTCCTTTTGTATATATGAATTTCCTAAATTTTCTACAGTGAACATATTTTACTTTTGAAAAACATTTTTTAAAATTCACCCTAGCAACAATTATATATTAAAACTTTTTTCTCTACCCAATTTTGGGTACAGTTGTACCATCCCATCTTTTATACTTGACCTGTTTGTGTTTATATGTATCTTAGTAGCCACTGAAACAGCAGTACTGAGTCCCCAGCATGTGCTAGATGCTGGATGAGACACGAGTGAATGCAGCATGACATGGTGCATGTCCTCATGGAGCTTACAGTCTAGTGGAGAGACAAAAATATGTAACGAATGAACAAGGTAATTGAAAGCTGTGATAAGTGTTCTGAATGCTGAGATAGAATGGAGCTCAACTCCTGTAGAAAAGGAACCATCGTATTCATCTGCTTATCCCTGTTCCCCACCCAGCTCTGTGCCCTGTGGCATATAGGCACTAAATGTTTGATCAAATAATGAATTCCCATGAAAACCGTATGACAGATCTTAAAGAGAAAATGGTTGTTTTTCCCAAATAACCACATTCTAAAATTCCAAGGAAATTGTATTTTTCAGCTAAAACACTCCCTTTTTTCCGTTAGTATACAATGTGGGGGTAAATAAGGTTTTATACATCTAAATTTCGCAATTTTAGAGTTAATTTTCTCTGAGAAAATAATTTTTTTTTTGAGATGGAGTCTTGCTCTGTTGCCAAGCTGGAGTGCAGTGGCATGATCTCAGCTCACTGCAACCTCTGCCTCCCAGGTTCAAGCAATTCTCCTGCCTTAGCCTTCTCAGTAGCTGGAATTACAAGCACTTACCACCACACCTGGCTATTTTTTATAGTTTTAGTAGAGACAGGGTTTCACCATGTGGGTCACACTGGTCTCGAACTCTTGACCTTGTGATCCTCCTGCCTCAGCTTCCCAAAGTGCTGGGATTACTTCCCAAAGTGCTGGCGTGAGCCACCACAACCGGCCTGACAAAATTTTTTAAATGTGAGATGCTCCCATTTTAAATGTGAATTTAAAATTTTTTAAATGTGAATTTAAAAATTTTTAAATGTGAGATAATACAGTTTTAAAATATTAAAATACACATGAAAAATGTTTTCATACATTATTAATACTCATTATGTCCTATTTCAGGTGGATGCGTCATTCCTTTCCCTTTATGACAGCCACGTAGCAAAGGAGATTCTTCTTCGAGTACTTACACTATTTCAGAATATAAATAACTGCCTCAAAATAGAAGGCCATTTAGCTGTGCAGCCTACTTTCACTGAAGGTTCATTGTTTTTCCTGTTATATGGAGAAGAATGTGCCCAGAAACTAAGAGCTTTAGTTCATCACGATGATGCAGAAGTGAAGGAAAAGGTTATAACAATAATGCCCAAAATCTAATTGGTCATATTTTTCCAAAGAGTAATGCAGTCTGGATATAAACGTATTTTCTATCTTCCTTATAAGGAGATAGTTCCAGCTGCTGAATTTAAACAGTAAATATCACATTTCATTATTAACATAGCTATAACTTGCCATAGTGTTCAGATTTATCTTGGACCATTTTGATACCAAGTGAGTATAAGAGCTTGTACTGAAACCATTTCTTTTTATTTTGCTATTTGCAAATATTTGTTATTTTCCCTACGTGAAGTGGCAGTAACCTTTTTCACAAAGCTACCCTACTTTTTGAAGTGATTTGCAGTTACTCATCTGAGACAGCATTAGTATGTGACTAAATCGCTGTTTCAGAACTGTAGTAGGAATGGTCATGTTCTTTTAGTAGCAATGAGATCCTAAGTTCTTGATGCCACTCACCTGCCAACCTGACCACACTGCTTTCAAAAGTCTATTCTCTTGAGTAGAATCTATTATGATTATTTCTTGTCAATGAAAATGTCAACTTTTAGGAGAGAATGTTTCCTAGGACTCACCCACTCCCATTCAGTGTTCCAATATGTAAAGAAAATTACATATAAAATACTGGGATCAATCACAATGTCCATCTATAGGCAGTTGGTTAAATCAATTATCCAGTCTTTGAAAAGAATTATGGAGGTCTGAATGTGCTGAATTGGAAAGATATCTATGAAACACAGTGGGTTTTTTTAACGACACAAGTTACAGAAAAATATGGGATCCCATGTGTGTGTGTTTTTAAATGAAAAATATGTATTGACAGACACTTCTAGAATAATAATACCCAAACTCCTGCAGTGAGAGTGGGGAATGCCTTCTACATACACACTTCTACTGTGTGAATTTTTTACTATGAGCCCAAATTGTGTAATCTTTTTTAAAATAAAGAAGATAAAAAATCACTCATAACATTACACACATTTTTTTCCCTTGACGGTACTTTATTTATTTTCATCCATATTTTACTTGACTAAAAATACAATGTATGAAAATTTGTTATCTTTAATAATATTTTTATTCCATAAGCTACTATAACAATTTATTGGTATATCTGGGATTTAGCCACGTCTTATAATATTTAAATTTATGACCCCTGCCATGCTTAGCATTAAGTAAATCAGTATACAAGCAGTATTTAAGGCAAAGCTTTAAGAATAATTTGTAAATACATAGATACAAGACTGTTTCCGTAGGAATTCACAAATCCTCAAACAGAAATATGTATGTGTGTTCTCAAGGTTATCCTGATACAGAAATCACACTTGGAAGAAATACTTTTACATTAGAAAAAGAGTTCGGTATAAGGTGAAAAATGGAAATTCCCAGTGGGCTAGACAAGAACAAAAGTATTAATTTCCCAAAAGGCACATTTCTTTATAACAGTTTTTTTCAAATCTACCTCCCTATTTTAATGAAAGCATATTCATTAAATATCAAAATGTGCATACATTAGAAACCAGGATTGGTTTTTAATGTGCTTTAGCAGCAGTGGATTCTAAAACTGTCTCTTTTCCTGTCTCATTTCACACTCCCTAGAGATCAAAGCATTGAGTCTGAAATGTCAAAATGCTAGAGAAAAAAGGAAGTAGTTTTTACCCAGAAAGAAAATGCACAAATACATCTTTACGTATGTAGGTCACAGCATATGTTAGCTTTTGTAATTTGGGATTTCTCCTAATTGATGACCTACCCATTTGGGCAGTGAGGCATAGCAAACTGTTCCTCAGTTATCACAGGAAACTTGAATAAAATCTTACATTTTGGTATGGATGTTCACTAATCAAAGAGGAAAATGAAGTTGACTTAGAGGATAAGACTGATTCAAAGATGCTACAATGCGTATTAGATTGAAGCGAGGAAGAGAATGGATATGTCTTATTTTTCAAAATTTGTTTTCACTGTGCACATAAACCCTTCAAAATATAGCTAACAAATGAAAAAGTGGAAATGACTCAATAAGGTTAGATTCTGTAAGCAGAGATGAAGCTTGATGTTCTTAATAAAAGTGTCAATGTAGAAAGAACATGAGTGGTAATAAAAAATTACAGCTGAAAAGGTCTAGAAAAATTAGGCCATATGAGAACACAACTAGAACACAACAATTTAAAGTGCTTAGAGACCCTCAGTTAAACAGTACATATGAATACAAAATAATGTTAAGGCCATTCATAGAGAAGAAATACTTAAGATATACCTGGCTTGCTTCATAGAGGTAAGAGAAGAATTTTCAATTTGGCATGCAACAGCAAAGAATATGGCTACAACAACATTGGCTAGTATTAGGGCAATACACCTCAAAGCTAACCCACCACAAACCTAACATCTTGATTCACATCTGCTTGGAGTGAAAAAGTTTATGATCAGTCTTTTGAGGAGGGTTTATTTTGTGGGGGATTTTTTTGTGCTTTAGTACCCCAAGATCACATACATTTGCATACATTATATATACACACATTACATACACATTTCCCCTTGACTGATTCATGTCTTTGTAGATAAAAACATTAAATTTTGATAAAGATTATTTACATCTATTTAGGCTATTACTCCAATTTACAAAGAGAGTGAAATAAAGTTGTTCTCAATGTTTAGTCTCCTAATATATAATGCTTAAATTTTCAACAGGAACAATATGTTATCAAAAGCATTAACCTATATTCAGCTTTCAAATATACCTATCTATGTTAGGCAGTGATATCTTAAGAAATCATTTTCTCCCTTATATTTCTAAAGTGCTTTAAAAACTCATTTGTTCGACACATTTTTCAGAGGTAGGTCAGAATTATCCTCTTGTTGCAGATGAGGAAAACAGGCACAGTGAGCATAGGTGACTTGTTTCAGGTTACAAAAAAAATCCATGATGAAATCTGAATCCAAGAATTCAGATTTAGTGGCTAACGTGGCACGTATATACATGTGAAAATAAATTATAAAGCACTGCCCGGGTAGCATTTGGTGTTGAAAACCTATTTTGATTATTTTCTATGAATAAAGTGCTGAGACTGGATTAGGAATACAGAATGGGCCTCCAGTGGTATCTAATTCAACTCCCTCCCTTAGGAAAGGTCAGAATCATCAAGTGCATACAGAGCCCTCATTAGGACTCAATTTTATGTCAGCTTTTTTTTTTTTTTTAACCACTGGTATTCCTACTGGCTTACTAAAAAAATCATGGCTTAAGTTTCATTTAATATAAAAATATAAAACATCTGAATCATGAAAAAGTATTTATAAATCTGATCGATACATTTAGAGCTAAGAGACCCAGGAAAAAAAAATGTGTAGAGAAAATGAAAAACAAAATTTAATTCAAAGTATATGGTCTATTAACATTTTATCTGTAAAATATTTCATCGTAGTTGTATTTGTGCTTAGAAGACCTGACTTCTAGATTTAAAAACAGAAAATGGCATAAATCATATTCTCACAGCCACACTCCTTCCCTTCCTCTGCTAAGAAGAGGGCTTTCGAGACAGGGTCTCATTTTGTCATCCAAGCTGGAATGCAGTGGTACGATCACAGCTTACTACAGCCTCCACCTCCTGGGCTCCAGTGATCCACCTCAGCCTGCCAAGTAGCTGTGACTACCACGCCACCTCGCCTGGCTATTTTTTTTTCCTAGAGACAGGGTCACCATGTTGCCCAGGCTGGTCTCAAACTCCTGGGTTCAAGTGATCCACCCACCTTGGCCTCCCAAAGTAAGAGGCCTTTTGATTTGGGAATTGTAGGCATGCAACAGAATACACTGTTCCTTCTCATCTGAAGGCTCTAGGAAAAAAAGAACACAGTGTTCCCTCTTTTAAAATTTAAGTGAATGGTGGTCATGACTGCATTAATGCCAAAGAACTGTACACTTAAAAATGGTTAAAATGGTAAATTTTATGCATTTGTATATTTTACCACAATAAAAAAAATCAAGTCTTTAAAAATGATCGCCCCTATGTTTTGATGCTTACCAAAATAAACCATATTTAATATTTGGCATATAAGCTAATCTTGATAGAGCAAGAATTGCTATGTTATAAGCATGTTGGAGTCAATTTGATCCATTTGTTATAATGGGCATATAAGAAACATTTTTATGTGTAGGCCTCTGAAAAAAATCTAGGTAGGTAGACAGCCTTGACTCACCTTGCAGAAGGTCCTGAAGAATGGAAAAAACAGAAATGAGTCTTTAATGTCAGTTTTTCACAACCTCAGAAAATTCTACAACCACAAAACTATAATACTTTAGTAAAAACATTTCCATTGCAGTGCTTATATCCTGCTATGAGATTTTAAATCCACATTAGCCAATTCATCATTTAAATGACCCACCCCTGAACCCTCTCGTAGTGTATATGAGCTGATCATATTAGGAAGCACGTTTATTACACAAAACATAAAACACAAACTTGTAGAAGTTGTTTCCAAATGCAAAAGAATCATAATATTCATGAATTTCTGAGTCTTTTCATTTTAAACTTACATCAGATGATGCCTTTATCATTATAAGTGCCTGTGCTCAACATTTATTAAAAGTTTTCATCATCAGTATTTAGGTATCTTGATTCTCCGTGCTTTAAGACAAAAAAATCTTCAGCGTTAAGTCCGTATCTCTCTAGAGCTTCATTCAGCTTCACTGGAGGCTCTAAGTAATGCTGGGCAAAGGTAGAAGAAAAATAGAAAAAGATTAACTATACATATATTTGGGAGATACTTCAGTAACAGTTCAAATCAAAATAACCAACAGATGCCTAGTTAAAATAAGGCATTAGCAAATGGGTCTATCACATTTTTTTAATACAGTTTTGAGTCATGAATCAACAGAAATGTATATGGTTGGATAGAAATCATGCCAAAACCATGCATATCAAATTTGGTGCCATCTTACTTTGAACATCATTGGATTGCATGAAATCTTATTACTTTTACCATATGAAATTCAAGTCTAAATGGAATCAGTGCCAAAGATGTGATATTAGATGATTACATATTAACATTTTTGAAAAACACAGAAATTTGAGATTGTGTGAGATGTGTGTGTATGTGTGTGTGTGTGTGTGTAAGCAGGTGCTAGGGCAAACTGTTTTGGCTGAAGAAGGGTTGTTATCCTCAAAAAGTCCAGTCAAATACAGAAACCACAGTCTGCAGAATGAAAGAGCGTCTCAGGGAATAGAGCTACAACAGGTGGAGTTTCTAATTTCCCTTTATATCCTTGCCTTTTCATTGCTCAACAAAAATGGAAGATAGCATACAGCATGTTTGACAGTGTTTTCACCCACTAAAATGTTTTCCAATAAATTTAGACCACCTGAATATGGAATAAAAGTATGTTTACCTTTTAATTTACTAATAGTTAATTTACTAATGAATAACAAATCATCAGTTATTTCTCTTTTGGTCTACATCTTCACATTGTATAATAGCCAATTTTTTCTTTATTCAAAGGGTTTTTTTCCCAATTTCAATTAGAAAAGTTGTAAAATGTGGTGGAAGTATAAAGCAAGAATAAAAAATCAGTCTCTGATCTCATCACCAGTAGGAAATCTGCCTCTCTTTAGGCAACAAATATCTTTTCAGCACCTACAGAACATGCCAGACTAATGAGCCAAACAAAAATCCTTGCCTTCATGGAGCTTATATTCTGACACAGAGATAGATAAGAAATGAATAATAAGAAAATAGATCGTATCTGAGAGGTTGATACGTTCTGAGGAGAACAAGGGGGAGGGGTGATAAGTGCAGGGGATAGACATTTACATTTAAATTCAACAGTTTTAAATCTTCAAGAAGATGACATCTGAGCAAAGACCTGACAGAACAGACTACATAGAGCTTTGTAGACAACTGTGAGAGCTGAGGCTTATGACTCTGAGTGTGATGGGAAGCTACCGGATCCCTCTGGTAGAGGGATCCCTCTGCCATGATTACTTCAAGTTGTAAAGGTCACTGCCCTCTCTCTACAGTGTTGGGAGCAGAATCTAGGGCAGAGTGGTAGCAGTGAAGGTGGTGAGAAGTGGTCAAATTCTGAATATAATCTGAAGCTCTGTGTGTAGCAAAGAGGAGTGAAGATTTTGGCCTCAGCAATTGGTAAATGGGAGTCACCTTTTACTGAGATGTCTGAAAAATAAGCTTGAGGAAGTTGGATTTCAGAATTTAATTCTAGGTACCTAATGGATATCCAAGTGGTGATGTGATGTAGGCAGCTGGATATATAAATGTGGATTATAGAGGAAAAATATCTAAGCTAAAGATGAACAGCAGGTAGGTGGTATTTAAAGCCATAAGACTGGATGCAATCCCCAAGGGAGAAACACCTACAGAGAAGAAGAGGTCCATGGACTGACTCCAAGGCATGCAGTGTTCAGAGCAAGCAGAGGGGAGGGACTAGCAACAGAGATTAAGAAAGGACAGCCAATGATGTACACGGAAAACCAGGTGAGTTTCCTGAGACCTAAAATGCACAGGTTTGGTAACAGTTACCAGCCACACAGGTCATCCTTTTCCTCCTGGCTCAGCTCCAGGTTTTATGGCTATGTTTAAAGGATCAAGGATACCTTTCAACTGACTGCTAAGTTCAGTTTTAACTATATGTGGTTTATCCAGTATTCCTAGAGCTAACCCCTTACTAATGGACAATTGATAACAGGTATTTACTCTTAGTCTGTTTTATATATAATGAAAAAAGATCACTATATTATCAATAAAATTTAACTTTATAGACTAAGTCAAGAAATTCCTTTGAAATAATTTCCTAAATTATTTTAAGAGATTTTAAAATGATGAACTTTTTTCCCATTGAAAAATAACTTCTTTTGTTAAATTCTGTTTCTCCCATGCTCTACCAGTCTGGGCCAACAATACACACACACACACACACACACACACACACACACAATCACCCTACTTTTTTTTTTTTAGTAACTTCTTTGTAAGCTATAACTTTAGTGTGGAGTGTGATGTGTGGATTTAGTGAGGATTCTGATGATGTTAGAGTTGGCAGTAAACCCTCTGTCTTTAATCTGCCTAGATTTAGCAGTATCTTTCTGAGTTTCTTCATAGATCAATTCTTGGCTGTTTAAACCATCTGGAAGATAACCCTGGAAGTAGGCATGAAAGGCTCTGAGTGACTGGGAGCTCACAGTCCAAGCACTTTAGTCCACAAGGGAGATAAAAATGCCCCATAACCATGGGACGAAACAACTATATATGAAACAAGACGTCAGAGAGTAATATGAGTAAGTGGGAAACGCAGAAGACTCCCAGCACTCTGGATCCATTAGGGGCTAGGCAACTAGCCACACAAAACTTGTAAATTCCTAAAGGGGTCAGTTTCATGATCTGGCACAATAGAATATATTCAAAGCAAAGACCCTGGTCACTTGAAAGGCAATGCACATATTATATAATGCTTGAAATTCATTTCCATCAAAATTAGTAATTTAAGTTTCAGTGCTTAAATATATGTAGGAAATCCACTCATCATTCCCTACATAAATTAGATGTTGCTATATATGCAATTTTAGAGTGTTGCCAAGTTAAGGACATCCTTAATCTGCTTAGATTACAGGAGGCAGCTATTATAACAGCATATATGCAAAGAGTGTTAAGTATTTAGAAGTCACGGGTAACACATCCTCTCTGAAGATTATATCTACTTTATAATTTAACTCATAGTTATTAAGTTTATTCAACATCAAAATATGAATAAATTCCAAAGTGCTGAAAGCTAAATGAGTTTTTATTATATTCTCATTAAGAAATAAAGATGGAGGTTAGGTTTATAACAGGAGTAATTCTTGACAGCTGAATAACACAGTAATTCTCGAAGACAGGTTTTTTTTTACCCTCTCCTCATCTTTCCCATCTCAGTAAAGAGCACAACTCTCTAACCATTTACTCAAGCTAAAAATCTAGGAGCCAACCTTGATTCCTTTCTTTGCATAGGTTTAATAAAATACCATTACTTCATGTAAGTCACTATATATATGGAATATACATATGGAATATGTACACGCACACACACACACACACACACACACACACATATGGAATAAGAAATTGTCACTAGGTCAGGTGCAGTAGCTCACACTTGTAATCCCAGCACTTTGGGAGGCCAAGGGAGGTAAATCATGAGGTCAGGAGTTCAAAACCAGCCTCACCAATATGGTGAAACCCTGTCTCTACTAAAAATATGAAAATTAGACAGGCGTGGTGGTGTGCGCCTGTAGTCCCAGCTACTCAGGAGGCTAAGGCAGGAGAATCACTTTAACCCAGGAGGCAGAGGTTGCAGTAAGCCAAGATCATGCCACTGCACTCCAGCCTGGGCAACAGAGCAAGACTCCACCTCAAAAAAAAGAAAAGAAAGAAACTGTCACTAAATATAGTGGTATGGCACTGGAAACCAGTCTCAAACTTCTCCCTTCTCCAAATACACACACACACACATTTATATTCTCATTTATCTGCCCCACACACCATGGTTAGTGTCATTCTATTCCTTCTCTCAATGGTGGCTAAGAGTTGCTGCTTCATGTCATGGGAATTTTGATTGGGGAGTGGGGGAACAGGCAGGCAGTGTACTAGGTAATTTTGGAATAAGCTGCATCTTTGGGAGAAACCAGGCCAGAAATAAGACAGAGGAATACTTAAAAATGCAAGAAAACATGGTTCCTGCAGAGAAGCTCTGGGATTTGAAAGATGTCACAGAAAGTAAAGAAGCAAGTGCTTGTACTTTTTTTGTTTTTGAGACAGAGTTTCACTCTTTAACTGAGGCTGGAGTGCAGTGGTGCAATTTTGGCTCACTGCAACCTCTGCCCATGCCCTCTACTCCCACCGGGTTCAAGTGATTCTCCTATGCTAGCCTCCTGAATAGCTGGGATTGTAGGTGTCTGCCACCATGCCCAGATAATTTTAGTAGAGATAGGGTTTCGCCATGATGGTCAGGCTGGTCTCGAACTCCTGACCTCAGGTGATCCACCTGCCTTGGACTCCCAAAGTGCTGGGATTACAGGCGTGAGCCACTGGCACCCAACTGAATCTCACTCTTTTGCCCAGGCTGGAGTGCAGTGGTGTGATCTCAGCTTACTGCAACCTCCGATTCCAGGGTTCAATCAATTCTCCTGTCTCAGCCCCCTGAGTAGCTGGGATTACAGGTGCACACCACCATACCTGGCTAATTTTTATGGTATTTTTAGTAGAGACAGGTTTTCACCATGTTGGCCAGGCTGGTCTCAAACTCTTGACCTCAAGTGATCCACCTGCCTCAGCCTCCCAAAGTGTTGGGATTACAGGAATGAGCCATCACGCCCAGCCTAACCAAACATTTCTAAGTTTTGCCTAGAGAATACCTTGGATCTAGGAAAGAAAGCTTTATGCTATCCTCTGTTGGATCCCAGAACCCAGGCTAGTAGCAGAGTTCTAGGACCCATCTCCCTTAAGGAAAAATTAGCTCTTCTGTTTTAATCAAGGAATCAAATCACTTTTATCCCTATGCCTGGCACATAGCAGACACCGAGTCAATGTTTACTGAACGTATTTCTAGAAAGTTCCACACTAGCCGTACTTCTCCCTATTGCCCTCCATTCTCCTGCTGAACTGACTCAACTATTCCCCACATTAGCTGCCTGTAAACCTATGCTCTGCCCTGTCCTCCTCTGAAAGTGCCTTCTAGCAATCATCCTGATTCTGAGACCATCTCATCTGTTCCACACTACAGCACTTTCCCCTTCTAACATCTGTGTCACGTATGTGACTTCTTTTTTTTTTTTTTTGAGATGGAGTCTCACTCTGTCGCCCAGGCTGGAGTGCAGTGACATGATCTCTTATCACTGCAACCTTTGACTTCCAGGTTGAAGCAATTCTTCTGCCTCAGCCTTCCTAGGACTACAGGCACATACCACCACGCCTGTCTAATTTTTGTATTTTTAGTAAAGACAGGGTTTCACCATATTGGCCAGACTGGTCTCGAACTCCTGACCTCATGATCCACCCAGCTTGGCTTCCCAAAGTGCTGGGATTACAGGCGTGAGTCACTACTAGAATGAGAGCCTGCCTGAAGAGTGAGACATGATGGCTTGCTTTTCTATTCTCCAGACCACATACAGATTTTTGGTTATACAAACACAAGCTTTACTAACTTTAGAAGTAAGCCAAAAGAACACACAATGAGAGTTTTTTTTCTGACTGTGTGTGTGTGTGTGTGTGTGTGTGTACTGTTCTACTAGTTAATATGACTTACCACATCAATTCATGTAGTGACTGTGATGACTGCAAGATCTGATTCCAGAGTCTTATGTCTGAAAACACTACTAGGGAACAGTGATGCCTGAATCCTATCATTGGTCAAACACAGAAAGTTATTTTTATCAAACTTACCTCATTTGCTAAAGCAAAAGTTCCCCAGTGAATTGCCATAGATTTCTTTGTTTGGACATCAATGTGAATCCTTACAGCTTCTTCTGGGTCTACATGCTGGTATTTCATAAACCACCTGATGAAACACAGCAATTTCTTAAGTCTGACCTTTGAGATATACACTAAATTCTAAATACTGTTTCATTTAATCAAACTTTAAGATTCTGCAAGGGACTATGGATGTTTACAATTAAGAACTACTGGGATAAAACATATGCAATTTGGGGGAAGATGAGCTAGAAATCAAGCCTGAAGTCCAGGTCAAGGCTAAACTGTAAAAACAAAACAAATTCTGCACAGGAATAAGTCACAGTAAGCAAAACCATCTCACTTTAGTACATTTTCTGCTGAAAAATAAACAAGCAAAAGTCTTTCTTTGTACAAGTTGCTATAAAATAAGCAAGTCTCAAGCAAACTCCCCTCTGAACAATGAGGTTTTTGTTTCATGTATATTTTGATTTTACTGGATCTATCTGAAGATACAACTTACTGATGATGCAGGAGAGGCAAGTCCCAAAATTGGGGCTTGGCCCAGGACGGTTTTTGGCTTCACAAAGGAAATAATTCAAGGGCAAGCCGGTGGTGTTGGATGGCAATTTTTATTAAATGGTACTGCTCCTTGCATAACAGGGCTAATTTACAGGAAGTGAGCACACTCAAAGTTGGCAACATATGAGCGGTTGGCAACTGTATTTATACTCACTTGTACCCACTTTTAATTATATGTAAATTAGGAGTGGGTTAATGCAAACTTGAAGGGCAGGTTATTTAGAACTTTCTAGGAAAGAGGCAGTAACTTCTTGGTCATTGCCATGGAAAGGGGCAGTAACTTCTAGGTTCTTGCCATGGCATTTGTAAACTGTCACGGTGCTGGTGGAAGTGTCTTGGGCTAATGAGCAACGAGGGCAGCTAGGGTCAGCATCTGCTGGTTTTTTCAGTTTTTTTACTTTATCCATTGAGACTGGGAAATAAGTCCTGCTGGTCTCCTACCTCACTGTTACTTTAAAAAGTAAATATTTTACAGTCCTGGATACGAATCAAAGAAACTGAATAATGGATAAAGAACTAAAAACCAAAATTCCAATTACAAAAGAATCTGTATGTCCTGCTGATGCAAATTTTTTAAAACTTGCTAAAGCAAAAAGAAATAAAAACTAGTACATAAAATTTAAAGTGGGAGAGAAAATATCCAATTACTATTCAAAAAATTTTATTTAATCATAAAACTGAACAATGAGGTGTTTGGTCCAGCAAGAAGAGCAGACTAAGGAAATAATGAAAGGCTACCTAATGCCTTGGGAAGAGCAAGGGCTCAGGAGGCAGAAGACTTGGGTGTGAATCCCAGCTCTTGCAGTGCCTTTGGAAAGTCTGCTCAAATTCTCTGAGCTTCTATTTCTTTGTTCATGAAATATAAATTTACCCCATTATGTGAGGGTATTGTGAGAATTAAACAAGACAAGGCTTAGGAAGGCATCGAGAACATCATCTACTTTTACAGAATTCTCCCAAAAGCGTAAATAAAACCAACACTTTCAGAAGAAAGATTTATTATTTCTGATACAAAGGAGAAAGTGTACTGTCTACAAGCAAATCCTTTGCCCTCTAAGTCATCATTTCAAGGGGGAAAAACAGCACTGTGTTCACATTATTTACATCCTACTCTGCCACTGACAACTAACACTATAGTAAAGACCAGCAGACATGGATTCAGCACAGGAGCTCTCACACTTTACAGAAGACATCAGGGAGAAGTTTATCCATTTGCTACAGAAATTTACTGTTAGGAGTTGCTGGGTCCTACAGAAGCCTGAAAACAAAGCCACTGTGTTCTCCTCAACAGCGAATGAGAGCAGCACTGTTCTCCCATTATCTCCTGACTCTTGGAATTCAGGGAAAGATGAAACCGGTTTTTGGTGTTTCTCTCTTGATTTTTTTTTAAATCTTAGTGCAAATCAAAGGGATAGATACACTCCTGTCCACCTGAAATATATTTAAAAATTTTACTCTGATATAACAAAATAAAAACTTAAAATCTTAACTGACTTGGGTAGAATATCTGCTGACAGATCCCTAAAGTAAGAATGAAATATTCCAAGCATATTATTGAAAGTTGTTTTTGGTGTAAACATCTTAAATTTATAGAGCACCCTCAAGCTTTGTTCAATGGATAATCTTATTTCTAAAGCTGTTAATACTAACCAAAGAAACAGATTACACATTAGAGGCTACCACAATTTAACTCTCTTAGGGCAAATAATAGCCTCCTTGTCTTTTTCCTATCTGAGATACAAGATGGCTGCAACACAAGCAGGAAAGGGGGATTATGTGAGTAAATTTTGTTGTACACATTTTCTTATCACAAATATATGTGACAAATTTATATATTACTACATATGAAAACTTATTTTCATAACAACAAATAAAAGATGTTCTAATATGTTAAGAAGGTACATCAGGCCAGGCACAGTGGCTCACAACTATAATCCTAGCACTTTGGGACGCCGAGGTGGGCAGATCACTTGAAGTCAGGGGTTTGAAATGAGTCTGGCCAACACAGTGAATGAAACCTCATCTCTACTAAAAACACACACACACACAAACTAGCCAGGTGTGGTGGGGGGCTCCTGTAGTCCCAGCTACTTGGGAGACTGAGTGAGGAGAATTCCTTGAACCCAGGAGGTGGAGGCTGTGGTGAGCCAAGATCACGCCACTGCCCTCCAGCCTGGGCAACAGAGTGAGACTCCATCTCAAATAAAACAAAATAAAAAAAGAACATATATCAAGTAAAGACCAATCTTTTTTTTTTTTTTTGAGATGGAGCCTCACTCTGTTGCCCAGGCTGGAGTGCACTGACACAATCTCAGCTCACTGGAACCTCTGCCTCCCAAGTTTAAGCAATTCTCCTGCCTAAGCCTCCCAAGTAGCTGGGATTACAAGTGCATGCCACCACACCTGACTAACTGCTGTATTTTTAGTAGAGACAGGGTTTCACTATGTTGGCCAGGCTGGTCTTGAACTCCTGAACTCATGATCCACCTGCCTCAGCCTCCCATAGTGCTGGGATTACAGGTGTGAGCCACCACACACAACTGGGTAAAGACCAATTTTATGTTACAAATATAAAATTGATTTGTAACAGTTCTAAAAATATAACTCGGAGGAGTTGATATAAAAATATATAAATAAAACAGTTCTAAAAATATACAGGTCGACAGGTTTTGAGAGTTTCTTTTTAGAATTATAATTATAATTGGAAAAGTAAAATTCAAGCACCAATATTGATTTGTAATCATTTTAATAATTATCAAGAACCAAAAAGGGTAAAAATATCTAGCACCCTCAAATAAGGAAACTAGCAAAAAAAAAAAAAAAAAGGGATAAGTAAGCATTAATAAATAAAAATAGGGACAAAATAGTTTAAGCGAATGTAAAAATTTAACAAATAAGTATAACAAAATCAGATGAGGCCGGGCGCGGTGACTCATGCCTGTAATCCCAACACTTTGAGAGGCCAAGGTGGGCGGATCATGAGGTCAGGAGATTGAGACCATCCTGCCTAACATGGTGAAACTCCATCTCTACTAAAAATACAAAAAATTAACTGCGTGTGGTGGCAGGCACCTGTAGTCCCAGCTACTCTGGAGACTGAGAATTGCTTAAACTTGGGCGGAGGTTGCAATGAGTCAAGATCGTGCCACTGCACTCCAGCCTAGGTGACAGAGCAAGACTCCATCTCAAAAAAAATAAAAGAATTCAGATGAAAATAAAATACCAGATTCATTCAATTTATCCATGTATTAGAGAAATACTTGTTCTGCTTATAAAATTACCTAAACAAAATATATTTGTATGTATCTGTCCATGCGCTATAGAATAAAATATTTTTAAAATTATCAATTGCTTTGTTATCATCGTTTGTTTTTTCTTTATTGCACGTATAAACCAGAGTTGACTGAAATCTAACTTAATTCTTTGAAATCATTTCTCTTTTCCCTAAACAGAGAGTATTAAGGAAAGCAAAGACAGTGGATGAATCTCCTAGGCCCAATGACAGTGTGACCTTTCGCTGCTCTGAAACAGGTCATGAGTATGTCAAGGTTGGAGGATGAATGGTGAGCAGTACAACAATGCCATGACCAGATTAAGATTAACTTCAGTGCTGACTGAAATAAAACCATCACAAAGGCACTGATGCTACAGGCCAATTCCTTGCTTTTTCTCTTTGCTAAATGTACGAGAGCTACAGGACAGAGGACTAGGGCACTCAAGTCATGGGGCAAGAAGCAGTTATATAAAAAAAGTATTCTTCATGTGAATGAACAAGAGAAGGTTTTATTATTGGCTGACCAGTTTAACTTTAGTTGAATGGCACATGAATTTCTGGCTAGGTATAGTAATTCTTTAAACCTTGATCCCTTTTTTATGGTAACATCATCTCTGATTTTGAGTAATTTTTTAACTGATATGACTATAATTAAAATATTTTAATTCTCATCACAAAAAAATAAGGATGTGAGATAATGCACATGTTAAATAGTTTGATTTAGTCATTCCATAAGGCATACATATATCAAAACATCATGTTGCACAACATATACACAATTTTTACTTGTCAATTAAAAAATATTTAAAATATTTAAAAATAAGAAAAACTAACTGAATCTGATATGTATAACAAAGTCCACCAAACAAAAGGAAAAAAAAAGTCCACCATTAAAATAATTACAGTATCACAAAAATCATAATTACTTTTAAATTCAGGTAACTTATCATGTAGCAGGAATGTTTTCTTTGGAAGTCTACATACCGTGGTTCATAAGCTCCAATGGGAATAGCTGCAAGGTCAAAAGGTCCAAATCTTTTTCCTATCTCTTCAAAAGCAGAACAATAACCAGTATCTCCTGCAAAAAAAAATCGATTCCAAGGCCCCAAGACAGACCAGCTGCCCCACAGCACCTTGTTGTCATCCATTAGAGTCCTTTTACACCAGTGCTGGGAAGGTGTAAAGACAAAGGTGACCTTATCATGTTCGGGGACACAATTCTCCTCCCACCAGTCCAGCTCAATCACATTCTCACAGCCACATTTTTGCATCCAGTCAAGGAGACCCAAAGGCACAAACCATCTCAAGTCATTACCAAATCGCTCATTCAAAGCAATGACAGAATTGTAGTCCAGATGGTCATAGTGGTTGTGACTGATAAGGACCGCATCTATTGGAGGGAGTTCACTTATTGTGCACGGGGAACGACGAAATCGCTTTGGACCCATGTACTGCGAAGGTGAAGCACGAGAGCTAAAGATGGGATCCGTGAGAAATATGAGCTCATCCATTTCCACCATTACCGTGGCATGTCCCAGCCATGTGACTCTTAAGCCAGCTTCTCTCACTCCAGCTTCTTCAGGGTTAGTGATAAAATATGGCTTAAGCACTGGGAGTTCTTTGTCAAGTTCCTTTTGTATAAAGAAAGCAGACAAAGCAGTAGTTAGAAAAAAAGGTATTATATCATCATAGAACACATTTTGACCTAAATTATAGCAAGAGCTATTTTCAGAGCACTAAAGTCATTCAATAAACTTGCTCATTTTGCTTTTTTCTTGAAAATGCATACTTCTTTCTGAATCTGACTTAATAATCATAATATAGTAATCTTCTTCATTCCAAATCCAAAAGGGAAAATTAAATTTAAAACTTTGAGTGCTGCTAAATGTATGAATTTTTTTAAAGGCTCTCTTTGGTAGGGCCAGAAGGAGACTGGCCTAGATGAAGTCATTTTTCTATTGCCATTCTACTCCGCTGATGTATTTGCTGCTAAAAACTGCCTTAAAAGCAGGTCGGTCTCTGGAAATAGTAAAGAAAGCTTATGATCATTTATTTGTAGCTCTTGGATCTCAGACATGAATCATGAATCTGATATTTTTTCTCTTTTTTTTTTTTTTTTTTTTGTTTTTGTTTGAGACGGGCTCTCGCTCTGTCAGCCAGGCTAGATAGAGTACAGTGGCATAATCAGAGCTCACTGTAGTCACAACCTCCCAGGGTCAAGTGATCATCCCAGCTCAACCTCTCAGCTTGGGACCACAGGCACACAGTACCACCACACCCAGCTAATGTTTTATTTTTTGAAGAGATAAGGTTTCATTATGTTGCCCAGACTGGTCTTGAACTCCTGGGCTGAAGTGATCCTCCTGCCTTGGCATCCCAAAGTGCTGGTATTATAGGCATGAGCCACTGTGCCTGGCCTGAATCTCACTTTCTGAGTACTTATAATTTAAAATGGACCACTGTGATGATTCCCGCACAAATCACAGGCATATATTGTTTTCCTAATTCGTTACCTTTCTGATTTTCCACCATTGATCAAACCAACATGAATATGATCCTTTCCTGTGAGAAGTTGATCACTGAAGTAAGGGGGGATGGTAAATGGATATAAAACAATAACTATAACAAAGGGTGGCCCGGGCGCGGTGGCTCACGCCTGTAATCCCAGCACTTTGGAAGGCCGAGACGGGTGGATCACAAGGTCAAGAGATCGAGACCATCCTGGTCAACATGGTGAAACCCCGTCTCTACTAAAAAAATACAAACATTAGCTGGGCATGGTGGCGCACGCCTGTAGTCCCAGCTACTCGGGAGGCTGAGGCGGGAGAATTGCTTGAACCCAGGAGACAGAGGTTGCGGTGAGCCGAGATCACGCCATTGCACTCCAGCCTGGGTAACAAGAGCGAAACCCCGTCTCAAAAAAAAAAACAAAAAAAAAAAAACAAAGGGTGAAGGGTATTACTCCTTGGTTATTCTACAGTTTATACCTGGATTAAGCTAGGCCAACAAAAAGTTGTGGAGTTGCAGGATCACAGTACTGGCTTTTATAAAGCTCTTTTACTGAATTGTGCTCTGGTACCATGCTGCATAACTGCAGGGAGGTCTCTCATAGGAAGCCACCTCATGAAACTTGCCATGCACGTGTTCAGACTGTAGACTTGGTACCACCTCCACCTTCCTACTTACCCCAGAAACATTTCTCTCACATCTTGTAACAGGAAAAACTCTCCTCCTCTAGAGCACCTGGCTTTCTCATTTCTGTCACTGGGAAAACAAGATTTCATGCTACTTCTCTCTTAGGAAGTTTAGAGGAAAAGCTGAGGCCACCTGCAGCAATGTGCAGCACATCATGGAACATATTTCTGTATTAACTTCATTCTTGGCTTTATTTTAGTTTTCTAGTCTAATAGCCCACTTGCTCCTAGATGCTCATCCATTTCTTTTTTTTACTGCTTAAGGTATGTTTTTAAGTTGCCACTAAATAAACTTTGAAACAGTGTGGTACTGGATAAGTATTTAAAATACAGGTCATGCTACAGACTGATAAGAGGGAATGAAGAATCCAGTTGCCAGAGGCATCACAGACACAGTGACTTGTGTAAGTTCCTAAAGAATGATGAGAAATTCATGATACAGAGAAAAGGAAGAAGGGCATTTGAAGTGAAGAAACTACCCAAGCAAAGGTACAGAGCCAAACAGGAATGTGGTGTCTGAGGGCAGGGGACAAACTAAATCCATAAAAATGAGAATACAGTAAGAACCTTGAGTGTCAGCGTTCACTCTAAGAAAATGAGGAAGCATCTTTTTTTTTGTAGAGACAGAGTGGGCTTCGCCATGTTGCCCAGGCTGGCGTCGAACTCCTGCGCCGAAGCGATCTGCTTCACAAAGTGCTATGATTACAGGTGTGAGCCACCACACCTGGCCTAGGAAGCATCTTTTTGCCCTTATGTTTAGATAAAACAATTCTAGAGTCCAAATAATGCCACAGAGAGTGTCACAACAGTGGCCAGGATGTGAAGAGATGAGGACCTGAGCAAAGGAGACAGCGGTAGATAGAGAAAGAGAGGGCAGATGGGGAGATGCTGGTGAAGGGAAACTGAGAGGTCAGTGGGAAAGTCTGAATGGGAAGAAGGCCTGGACAGGAAGAGGAGCAGCAGCACAGGTGGAGGACAAAAAGATTTCTCTTAGCCATTCTAATTAGTTTCCTCATCTGGAAAATGGGAATAATTGTACCTATGCTTCATTTCTGTGAAGATTGAGTAAGGGAGTGGCTGGCACAAAATAAGCACTCTACAAGTATTCCAAAGAAGAAGGAAGCAAGTTCCAACCATGACAGCCTATCAGGCACCAATCCTACCAATCTTACGCATTTCCATGGAGCCACTAACCTAGTTAAGATGCTAAGAAATATCCAGACATTCAAAGCTCTCCAGATTGCTCAACCTGTCAACTCAATCCATGCAAAAGCGCCACCTCAAAAACAGCCAACTTAAGGCATAACATAAGCCTCCTCTGCTGCAAAATCTTCACTGGCTCTCCACTGGCTGACAAAGTTTGTCTCACCTCCTCCGCCCAGCAGTGAGTGGCCCAGGGAGTGCCCCAATTCTCCTGTCTGGCTGTGTTTCATGCTCCTCTTCCACATGTGCTGTGCCCCACCTACATAAAGACTGCTTCCCACTCCAGACTGAGCTCAAGAATCCCACATGGCACTCACCCCATTTCTCAGGTTAAATTACCTTCCCCCCTCATCCCTTCGGGCCATCTCTTGAGTCTCCACAGCTGGAAGCACTCACTCCTGCCTCTCAACTTCCATATCTCCCTATTCACACATCTCCTCTGGATATTCTATGTATACAGAATTTATCCCATGTCTTACAAAAGATGGAATCATTCGCAGTGCTCAGTTTGATAAGTGAAACACAGCATGTGCTCAACAAAATTTGTTGGATGAGTAAATAAATGAATGTCAACTTTCAATCAGTTCTTAAATTTGGTAGTTACATTAGTGAACAACGACAGATGCCAAGTGGCATACTTATCAAGAATTAATGAGGAAAGGGAGAGGAAATGAATATAAACTGAGTACCTACTATGTACTCATACTTAGCATCATATTGGGCACGTAGTGATGATGATGATGATGATGAACTACCTAATATATCAAGTACTTTAGTATAACACAAAATAAAAAACTATTAACAATAGCTACCATTTATGAAGTGCTTATTATGTGCTAGACAATGTACTAACTGCTACTGGCTACTAACCACAACACTGAAGGTAGGTCCTATAAACCAGCTCCATTCTACAGATAAGAAAACAATGAATTAGAGAAGTGAAAGCACTCAGGCAAGGTCACCCAGCCAGAACCACTGTAGTAAACCATACTTCTTCCCATTAAACCTCATTTAATAACATGTTTTCTTAAAAAGTAACAGTCTGGGGTCCAGGTTGGGAGAATAAGTGGAGATGGATTTCAAAAGGACACAAGGAAACTTTGGGGGATAATAGATATGTTTATTATATGGATTGTGGTGATCTTCTCGTGGGTATACACATCTGTCAAAACTCATCAAATTATGCATTTTAAATACGTGAAGCCTATATTATGTTAATAAAACTTTTTTTTTTTTTTTTTTTTTTTTGCGAAAGAGTCTCACTCTGTTGCCCAGGCTGGAGTGCAATGGTGCAATCTTGGCTCACTACAACCTCTGCCTCCCGGGTTCAAGCAATTCTCCTACCTCAGCCTCCTGTGTAGCTGGGATTACAGACGTGCACCATCATGCTTGGCTAACTTTTGTATTTTTAGTGGAGACAGGGTTTCACCACGTTGGTCAGGCTGGTCTCAAACTCCTGACCTCATGATCCGCCTGTCTCAGCCTCCCAAAGTGCTGGGAATACAGGCGTGAGCCACCACGCCCAGTCTGACTTGCATTTTCTTGGCTAGATCAAGACTTTCTTGGCTGGTCTTCCTTTTTGAAAGCTGCAAAAGGGAAAATCCCAAGACTCATAATTAACTAGTACACTAGTTAATGTTTTACTTTTCTCGGGAAAAGGGAAAAATCCTAACATTCATTCAATTGCTACCCTTTGGAAGGTGCTTCAGGTATATAGTGTCATCTAAATCTGTGAAGCAGATATTACTGCCATTTTACAGATGACCAGACCAAGGCAGACTAAGGTCAGTAAGAAACTTGCCAAAGTCATACAACAGGTAAGTACCCAATCACGAGGGAAATCTATGCTTTCCTGACTTAAAAGACCTCTCTTTCACTAAGCTATGCTCGTTCCATGGCAGAAATATAATCTTACATTAAAATTAAACAATGAAACTCATATCTTCTTAATATACTATTTTAAGAGCATGTGTTTGTATATATTAATGAAGTAAAAGAGAGACATGACTCAAATGCATTTAAACTACGTTTTTAAAACAACACGTTTAAAGACAAGATAATACTTTTCCTCCAGCTGAAGGTACATTTTAATCACCTTAGAAAACTTTACTACCTATACCTGTAATTTGAAACTCAGATTTTTTAAATTAAAAAATAACATTTTTCTTTTTCACGTTTATAAGATATATGTGAACACTGAATAAAGATAGATGCGTTACCAAAATAACTCCAAT